GTGATCAAAGGAGAGGTGATATACATAAGGACATTGCCAGCAAATAGGGCACATTTATGGTCTTGTTGTCCACAACGGATGCCATGGATTTTAGGATGGGAATGGATAGCTAAGGGTTCAATCGCCAGAGCGAAAAGCAATGGGAAAAGTAGACAGCCCTGTCTAGTGCCACGTTGAATTTGGATCTATAACCTCTAATGTAAATTTGAGCCAAGGGAGTATCATATAACGAATGCAATAAAGCAAGAAACGTAGGATCAAATCCAAAGGCCTGTAAGGTAGCAAACAAATACTCCCAAATGAAGCTATCAAAGGCCTTATGAAGGTCTGAAGAGAGAAGCACAAGCTTCCTTGAGAGAGGAGCTTCCCAGTAAGAGCTCATGTACACTGCAACTGATACACTCACGTTTAGGAGCTGTTCAGCGTTTTTTTCAGCAGCCCCTGAACTCTCCCTAATGTTTTCCTATGTGTCCATGTACACATCGCCAATTACAAGCAGTTGAGTTTACAGTTGTTTTCTTGAACTCACCAAAATTGCGTTCAGGAGTAGATTTTACTGGAGTTTCAAACGCCAAACCGTGTTTACAAGCGTTTGCTTTTAGATGCGTTTTTTGACAGGTTCATATCCAGATGCTGTCCGGAGCCTTTTTTCTTTATCAAAGATACATGCAAATCGTTTTCCATGTATTCAAATGGACCCGGTACACCAGCGCTGTCAGTTCCAGGTTTTACGTGAAGGAAACAATGGCAGAACGCGCCGCATTATGCTCATGATGGGATCCATAGTGAATACAACCAGAAAAGACAGGTCATCTCCACACATACTGCTCTCTCTGCTTCTGCTCTCTCTATTCCTCTCAAAATTTCTGAAATAGTTAATTTTTTACTGTTTTTCAGTGCATTCTGGGCATTTGGGAGGGTCTCTTGAGGTTATCTTTTAACCACTTCAGGTCTGGACACTTTTACCCCCTTCCTGTCCAGGCCAATTTTCAGCTTTCAGCGCTATCACACTTTGAATGACAATTGCGCGGTCATGCAACACTGTACCCATATGAATTTATTTAGCATTTTTTTGAGACAGACTTTATTTTGGTGGTATTTATTCACCACTGGGATCTTTATTTTTTGCTATATAAATGAGAAAGTCCAAACATTTTGAAAAATTTTGCAAATAAATAATCTTTTTTCATAAATCTTGGCCAACATTTATTCAGTTATCTTTTTAGTAAAAAAAAATAACGTAAATTAGTTTATAAACAAAAATTATAGTTTTTCAAAAATGTTTTTTTACATTTTTATTTGTATATTATTATTTATGTTTTGTTTTTTAACATACTGTCACCCTAGCAGTACAGTGTCACCATGGTGACACTGTACTACTTGTGGGGGGTGATGAAGATTTTTTTTTTTTACACTGATTGCTTCTACACCCATAAAGGCTGTAAAAGCAATAATTTCTCCTCTCTGGCTGCATTCCTGCAGACATTGAGAAATACTATGTCACATAGTACAAGGCTGTTGTGAATAGCCCTGTACCATGTGATCTCTGTGATCATTCACAGATTTCACACGTAGTAAGCAATGATGTCAGAAGTGACATCTTGCTTACACCTATTTATGTGATCACTGATTGGCCAATCAGTGATCACATGATCAAGATCTCACACAGAGGTCCCGTACACAGCGGGCACTGGATCGCTGTTCTGCACGCTCCCAGGAAGCGCGCACAGTCAAGAATGGCGGGTGCCGTTTATGAATGGCAACCGGCCCCTGCACTGCCACCCTCCGGCCATTTATATACAGCGGCCGGACGGAAAGTGGTTGAAAATTCTTCTAAACGCAAATTCACATAAACGCGGCTAAATGCGCATAAACGTGATTAGCAAACGTGGCTAAACTGCCGTTTTTTTACCTACGTTTTCTAGCAGTTTCCAGCTGTCAGAAGAGTTTTCCAAACGCGCCGTGTACATGAGCCCTTAGAGCGGACAGCTGAGATCAGAGTGATAGACCGGCGAATCTGTTCCAATATTTGATGACCAGAGATGAAACCCGACTGGTCCTTATGAAATGAATGAAATGGGGCGATAATTGTGAACATCAGTAGAGTGTTTATTAGGCTTCAGAATGACACGGATATACGCTTTGTTCTCGTATAAAGGAACCACACCCTTCTCTATTAAAGAATTAAAATAAAGAGTCATATGGGGGAGAAGGTGTTCGAAAAAAGTTTTATAATAGTTATTTGGAAGACCGTCGGGGCCGGGGATTTATGTGACGATAGTAATTTAATGACTTTGCTAGCTCCGCGTCAGTAATAGGTTGTTCCATAAGTCCTCTATGGGCCTCGGTGAGGGATGGAAGACGTAAAGTCTCCAGAAAATTTTGAATTGAGATATGCTCAACAGGCTGGGGTTGGCCATATAGGGTAGCATAAAAGTCATGAAATTCCTGAAGGATCTTCTGAGGATCTTGATATGACCCCCCCCACCCCCCCCCCCCCCCCCCACCCCCCCCGTGAGCCCACGTTTGGGAAGCACCGAGTGAATATATTTAGGGGTAAGTTTATGTGCTAATAGGAAACCCGGTCTGTCCCGCCACATGAAGAGTTTATGATTCATCCAACGTAGTTGTTTTTCTGCTTTTGTGGTGAGACGGAGGTTAAGTTCTAAACGAGCTCGCTCTGCTTTAACCACTTACCCTCCAGAGGATTCCCCCCCCGACCAGGCCATTTTTTGTTACGGCGCTGCGTCATTTTAACTGACAATTGCGCGGTCATGCAGTGCTGCACCCAAATGAAATTTACGGCCTTTAATCCCCACAAATAGAATTTTCTTTTGGTGGTATTTGATCATCTATGCGGTTTTTTATTTTTGGCGCTATAAATGAAAAAAAAAAACAACAATTTTGAGAAAAAAACTATATTTTTGACTTTTGCTATTAAACATGTCCAGTAGAAAAATTTTAAAAATCAAATACAGTCATAAATTTAGGTGAAAATGTATTCTGCATGACTTTGCTAAAACAAAATCCCAATACGTGTAAATTAATTGGTTTACGTGAAAGTTATAGCGTCTACAAATGGTGGTATATATACTGGAATTTTTTTTCTTACTAGTAATGGCGGCAATCAGCAACTTATAACGGGACTGCGGCGGGCATTCTGACACTGGGGGGGGGAGCTGACTTGGTGTCCCTGACATCCCCAGTGACACCAGTACAGTGATCAGTGTTAATAAAAAGCACTGACACTGTACTAATGACACTGGGCAGGAAGTGGTTAACATCCATCTCCGCCACCCCCCTCTGCCAATCCCTCCACTGGCTTCCGATTGCGCAACGGATCAAATTCAGAATCCTAACACTGACATACAAAGCCGTCCACCATACTGCCCCGTACTACATCACTGACCTAATATCCAAGTACCACCCAGCATGCAAACTCCACTCCTCACAACAAGCACTTTATAAATACTGTATAATAATAATAATAATCTGGGATGATCAAAGGGTTAACTGTGTGCGGTGTGATTTTTACTATGAGACTGTGTGTGTGTGCTTTCCACTGTAAGCACACTGCTTTGTATGGCTCTGGAGCTGACAGGGGAGAGAACTATATTGTTTACATACAGTTCTCTCCCCCATCAGTAATGCTCGGTGATCACCGGGTGCCGGCGAGTAATTACCGTCTGGAACCTGGTGATTGACAGCCGAGGCCGCAAATGGCGGCGTGCCCCCTACCCAGACATGCAAAATCATGTATATATACAGGCACAGGGTGATTTAAACATAAGAGGGATATGGGGAGCTGAGACAGGGGTCTCCCCACCTCTCCAAAGTGAGCTGGGTTCCATGGGCCCCCCACCCAAAATGACTCCCGTCACACGGGGCATAAGACTTCAAGTGTTCTATTGGATCTGTTTAAATGTCACTTTTCCTATATGTGTGTGTCTGTTATTGATTTTGTATTTCTGTTTCCTCCAATCAATAGTAAAAGGGAAGCAGGATGACATGTATCAGAACGTCTCTCCGACCAAAGACATCAGCGGTGACCATTTCTCAAACAAAAGCTCATTTCTGGACGTGTCTGAAGGTATGTAAGATGAGCACGTTCTCCTGGAACCCTTTAACCCCTTGGCGACCGCGCCTCCTGGCCCTTTAAATTGTTTGTGACACCGGGAGGCGGGGCGTGGTTTAGGGTCATGTGCCGCCATAATTGGCGGTCACATGATCGGAAAGGTCCCGATCGCAAGTAGCGATTGGAACCTTTCCGTGAGGGGTTGTAAATGTCCTGCGGCATGTGCTCTCGACACACGTGTGGTTTTTTTGGGTGTGCAAACATGTGACCTCTCAGTGTCAAGGCCCAGCTGCCGAGAGGCCGCATATTTGTGTATGGTCAGCGCCAATAGGTTCGAGTGACACTGAGGATTTGTTCACGCTTTGTGCATGTCAGGAACATGGACTTTCCCAACATGCACAGAAACGCGTTGCCCTTTAGTAGCCACAGAAAGTTGTCATTAATCCTTCCTGGCAAGGCCATGCATCGGCTAACGAGCGCGGTCTTGGATCGGGGCAGCATGGTTTTGCAAAAGGATCAGGGACTTCTTTTGCGTGTTTCTAGCACATAATGAAGCCTATTAAAAATGAATGGGCTGCACGGAGCCCCCCAAAAATTCTATTCCAGTATGTAAGATTAACCCCCTCTGTTGCTGTCAGTCTCCTCCAAATTCTTTTTTTTTTGTGCTGCTGTGATCAGACTTCCTGACATTCTTTCTTCATGCTCCCGCTGTATGTAGGAACGTAGCCACCCTCTCTTGCTCTCCCTATGGACTTTGGGATTTGTAGTGTCCATTGAGCAGTGTACGTGACCGCAACTGGCGTACACTGCTTGTACCAAACAAGTGAAAGTGAGCTGGAAAAGGAGGGGTTCAGGAGCTCACAGAGGAAGTTACAAGGAGGCAGGAAAACAAAGAAACAATTGAATGAAAATAGATTACAAGGCAATTAAAGTGTTACTAAACCCACAACAGTGCAATCAGTCTGTAGATGCAGTAAAGCATGCTTGTTATACTCACTGTGGAACCTAAGGGGTTAATACTCTGCATTATGTAAACAGGATGTTTGATCCTGTTTTCTCTGATCCGCCCCTTCTTCCAGTGCCCCCCTCTTTTCTCCTGATAAGGCATACCGTGTGGAGTCACTTTGCACATGCTCAGTTTGGTGTGTATGCTAGAGGTTTTTTTTTTCTTTGGAGAGTGCATGTGATCAGCACAGGGCCAATCAGCACTGTCCAGACAGAGGGTCAGGGGTCCTGCATCTTCCTAGAGTAGAGTGAAAACTCCTCCTACAAGCTTTAACCGGTGCTTTTTCTGAACACTGATAGAAGTCACAAGACTGCTATATACTGCTGATGAGAAAAGGTATTTAGCAGTTTATATTTTACTAAAATAATTGTATTTCCGTATTCTGTGTACTGTGGGAGAGCGGATATAGTGAATGCAGGGTCCGGGGAGACCGGATATAGTGAATGCAGGGTCCGGGGAGACCGGATATAGTGAATGCGGGGTTCGGGGAGAGCAGATATAGTGAATGCAGGGTCTGGGGAGACCGGATATAGTGAATGCGGGGTTCGGGGAGACCAGATATAGTAAATGCAGGGTCTGGGGAGACCGGATATAGTGAATGCAGGGTCCGGGGAGAGCGGATATAGTGAATGCAGGGTCCGGGGAGACCGGATATAGTGAATACAGGGTCCGGGGAGAGCGGATATAGTGAATGCAGGGTCTGGGGAGACCAGATATAGTGAATGCAGGGTCCAGGGAGACCAGATATAGTGAATGCAGGGTCCGGGGAGAGCGGATATAGTGAATGCAGGGTCCGGGGAGACTGAATATAGTGAATGCAGGGTCGGGGGAGAGCGGATATAGTGAATGCAGGGTCCGGGGAGACCGGATATAGAATGCAGGGTCCGGGGAGAGCGGATATAGTGAATGCAGGGTCCGGGGAGACCAGATATAGGGAATGCAGGGTCCGGGGAGACCAGATATAGTGAATGCAGGGTCCTGGGAGACCAGATATAGAATGCGGGGTCCGTGGTTTAGTAACACTTTCAGTCTTGGATGTACAGTATATGGATTATTTCTGGAAAATAAGGATATCATTTAGTGTCACTTCAATAGTCATTTCGGGGTCCCTGACCCCAATGAATCTCCCCCCCTCCCCCAGTCATAATCAGTTGTTAATATTTTGTACTTTTTATTGTTACCCCATGAACAGTCAGAACAGAAGAGGAAATGAAATTCAGTTTCCCTTTGGCGTGTTGTTGTCATGCATCGCAGATTCCCACAGCCCAGCCCAGCTTTGAAAAACATTTTGGTAGAACAAACGTCTGTGCAGGTCGGAGAGGAGAGGCAAAAAATAAAATACAGGCGTTGTGAATCTACAAAACATCATCGGTGGGGTGGATGCATAGCTGACTATTCTCCCACAATGCTGCTAGACTGTAATTACCAAAGCGGGAGGTTTTAAATCTGACCCCCTGCCTTTCCTTCAGTCTTGCAGAGTTGTACCGGCTCCTCTCCTGCACTGGAAATCCTTATTCTGAAATCACTGCACACTGTGAGCTCCTCACAATGTGCATCAGAAGCTGCAGCATTACCCACCTCATTTCCTGGCTGCAGGACGCCCAGTATCATCCAACACTTTTATCCCCAGCCTGACTGTTCTAGCTCTACCCTCCTCATTTATTGGGCTTTCAATAATGGAGGTTCAGCATCCCATGTAGGCATTACCCACGTGCAGCCTGCCTAGGAACACCCACTACTCCAGGCTGACCCCTCAAGGAATTTTGATATTTTCATAACTCCTTCCAAGAACCAGCCCACTGCTTGCATTGCATAGAGAAGTGCAGAGACCCAGTGATTATATCACTAAAATAATGAAAATAGGATATGGATGGGTTCCAAAGAGGTGGGGGGATTGACGACAATCAGCTCATGCACTGTTGCTGGAACATCTGCATTTTATTGACTGCTGTGTGAGAATTTAGATACCATTCATATTTAGTGAAGGCCTGTGTGTCTATGTTTTATACAGGAGGCGATTCCTATCTGGAACCGATGGCCCTGGATGAAGCCGATCAAATATCTGATGGTGAGAGATCTAAAATGTTAACATTCACAAGAAAAATTGTCAGGCAAATGTCTCACCAAGAGTGACGGGCAGTGGCATTGTTGACCCTCTTAGCTACACCACCAGCATGGACAGCGATCTTCTCTCTGTCTTGGTCAATGGATGATAGCAAAGGTCACACAAAGAAATGATTGATTCGTCTAGTCCAGGGGTCTTCAAACTTTCTAAATAAAGGGCCAGTTCACTGTACTTCAAACTTTCGGAAGGGCCAGACTGTGACCAGCCGGAGCAGAACATGGTATTAGGGGGGAATAGTTTACCATCATTGGTGTCAGGGAATAGTGCCCCATCATTGGTATCAGTGGGGGGAATAGTTTACCATCATTGGTATCAGTGGGAGAAATAGTGCTCCATCATTGGTGTCAGGGAATAGTGCCCCATCATTGGTGTCAGTGGGAGGAATAGTGCCCCATCATTGGTATCAGTGGGAGGAATAGTGTCCCATCACTGGTATCAGTGGGAGGAATAGTGCCCCATCATTGGTATCAGTGGGAGGAATAGTGCCCCATCATTGGTATCAGTGGGAGGAATAGTGCCCCATCATTGATGTCAGTGGGAGGAATAGTGCCCCATCATTGGTATCAGTGGGAGGAATAGCGCCCCATCATTGGTATCAGTGGGAGGAATAGTGCCCCATCATTGGTATCAGTGGGAGGAATAGTGCCCCATCATTGGTATCAGTGGGAGGAATAGTGCCCCATCATTGGTATCAGTGGGAGGAATAGTGCCCCATCATTGGTATCAGTGGGAGGAATAGTGCCCCATCATTGATGTCAGTGGGAGGAATTGTGTCCCATCATTGGTATCAGTGGGAGGAATATGGCCCTGTTGTCAGTGTGAGTGGCAGGAAGCTCTCATTTTGTTTAATCACCTTCAAAGACCAGACTGCTAGTGAAAGGAAGGAATCCATTGATTTATTGTGTTTAATTGTTTATTTGTTTATGTAATTTTCTCCTGGGACTCGTAATGTGTACATAAAAATGGCAACTGCCCCAGTCTATAACTGGCCTTCCCAGTAAGAAGCACAAGGAAGGGCGATGCATGTCAAGCAACAACAAGGAAAAATTCCCAGCTCACTTACCAACCAGGCTGCAACCAACCAAATGATCCTGTCTAACACTTCACGTTAAAAACAGGGGTTTAGTTTGCACAATGCTGTCCTGGCACACATTGTGTATTTTTGTTGGTGGAATAGGGTACTGTCTACTCTTTGGTAACGCAGTCTGGCTCTGTACACGCAGGACTGAACTACTAACACAGCTATGTGATGATTATGTGACCTATTCTTCCATCTGTTGGTCCAAGGTCAACTGGCCCATAGTGGGCAATCTATCTCTTTTAGCTTCTCCTTCACCTTCCTGGGTGTATCTGTTATGTCTGATCTTGTTGATGTGATACTTAGGGCCAGTGACAATGGCCTTTTGTCAGCATCAGAAATGGTTTTATCTCCATACAACCTTATAGGAATGCAAAAGCACCTTGAACCAGGTCAAATGCAGGTCAGAAAATGGTTAATTGCAGGTCAAATGTAGGTTGGAAGTAGGCTGACTGCAGGGCAAATGTAGGTCTGATGGTGATCAGTTGCAGGTCACAAGGCAGTCACTTGCAGGTCAAATGTGGGTCAGAAAGAGGTCAACTGCAGGTCAGAAAATATGGAAAGTCTGAGACGCCGCTCACCCAACCCAAGCCATATAAATGTAGGTAACAGCCCCAGCCAGCACTGTTTCAATGTCCACACCTCCCTTGACACCAGCTTCCCTACTCCTGAGCACCAGCGGAGAAGAATATTTTACTGCAAAATTTAACAGGTCACGGCAGCACAGAAGATGGTCAACTGCAGGTCAAATGCAGGTCAGAGGATGGTCAACTGCTGGTCAAATGCAGGCTAGAAGGTGGTAAAATGCAGGTCAGAAGGTGGTCAACTGCTGGTCAAATGTAGGTCAGAAGGTGGTCAAATGTAGGTCAAAGGTTGTCATCTGCAGGTCAGATGTGGGTCAGAAGGTGGTAAGCTGCAAGTCAGAAGGTTGTCAATGGCAGGTCAAATGTAGGTCAGAAGGAGATCAACTGCAGATCAGATACACCTGTCAGTGAATTATAAATGACCTCAGAAGCATTGCAAACTGATATCACAAGCATACCGCATTTACCCATCTACACAAACCCAAAGTCTGATAACACAGGATATAAGGCTAGCCGGTCAACTAGGGTACAAGGAGGATTGGTGCAAGGCAGTGGTCACAGGGGAACAGGAAATATAATGGCTAACAGGTAAAAGAAAATGGATGACCCTTCATTGCTTTGATTTTTTTCCAGATGGAGACTGCTATGAGAATGCCGCTGAAGAAATAAAGGAAGGATCAATAGGTAGTACTAGTAATATATGACTGTTGACTTTGTATGTATAGATCAACCAACCCCATCCCATATAAACTTCAAACAGCTCCAGAATACTATGGTTCCTATGCTCCTAGGCGTAACTTACAAGATATTGTCAAAGGAGGGAGAAAAACTGTAGACATATCACCCCATTGTTCGAAGGTTTCCATTATGGAATTATTGGGCAGAAAGTTCACCGTGTGCTAGAAAGTCTTCTCACCAAATGCACCACCTTCATTTGAAGCTCTTGTAATGGTTCAGTGCGTTTTGATTATTCCACCATAAATTAATTATCTAGTAGTAGTAGTTGGTCACATTCAACTGGACCTGTTCTGCAGGAAATGCTCAGTACAGAACCAAAAAAGTAGCTTGGAGAAGCTAGAAAATGTCTTCAGCATTTCAGAACAAGTGCAGATCTACATGATTAACTACTACTAGATAGACCATGGCGTGGATAAATGAGAACCTTCACAAATATGAATGT